ATTTATTTTTCTGCTGCTGCCTTTCATTTTATTTTATTTTATTTTGATTGCATGTTTTTTTGTACTTTTTAATTTGTGTTACAAATTAAATGAATAAAAGTGAAACAACAAAACAACAAGTTTCACACGTAAAGATGCTCTTTTAGTTTCTCACACTTTCAATTCATAAACAAAACCAAACCAGCTTTTGTTTGTTTYCACACCTCTCTAGATGCACAATTGTCTGACTTTTCTCTTCCTAGTTTTAAACTTCTTCTTTTTCTCCTGCGCCCTCACACTGCCCGTGCACGCACAGGATCAGCATCCCCAGGCAGAAACTCCACACAGCAGCTGAGGACGAGGAGAGTGGAGCCGCCATGAAGAAGTGCCTGAGCACCGAGCAGCTGGAGGTGGATTTGGACGCTTCCAGCGACGTTTCCAGCGAGCTGAGCTTCGGTTACGAGTTCGCTCAGGCCGAGGTGATGATGAAGGGGATGGGCACCAATGGTGAGTTACACTAAGATGGCACAACACAACAAACGGTGGTTCCACATCACTGAGCGAGTTGGATGTATGACTAAGCATGCTTTGTCAGTAAAACATTCGGTGCATTATTCATTTCTTCACACAGCAAGTGGCTCAACTTCATTCCCACATTCAGACACGATGAAGTGAGAGAAGCTGAGTCACTTTGTTTTCAACAAAACACACAGTTAATGAATGAAACAAATCTGTAATTAAGTAAGTAAGTAAGTAAGTTGCAAAAGTCTCCACCCTCTTGTTATTCTATTTTGTTGTTGCAATCATTTGATTATGTGAGAAATCTACACAAAATGTTTATTATTTACATCAAATTAGGAGAAAACTTGCTTTAAAATCACTCTAAAAAAACAAAACTTAAAAGTTGTGCATGAATATATTGAATATTCAGCTGCTTCATGTTGAAGCCCCAAAGCTTCACGCAGRTCAGAGACAAAATAGTAGAAAAGATCAGATCAGGTTATTTAAAAAATGATCCCAACCCCTACCACTCAACAGAGATCCATGAAATATGTTATTAGAAAATGGAAAAATTTTGACTTTTGGTTGTGAACTGCAGCAGCATTAGTGTAAATAGTGAGAAACACTTTCCTAAAATATTTGTTTAAGTCATTTTTTTCAAGTTTTTCAGAAAAACAAAACAAAAACCCTAATCAAAAATGTACTGTGTGATCTGCACTAGCTGAAAATGTAAACAAATTTAGCAATTTTGATCCCCAATTCAACCAAGTCCACTGGACTCTCGGATGTGAAAACACCCTTAAACACATCAGCTGCTGGCAAGTTTCTGGATGTTTCTGGGATCGTTTTGTTGTGTATCACTTCTTATTTGTGTCAGGTTTTATGAAAGTGTTTTGCAATTTTAAAACAAAACCTGTTTGTGAGCAGCTTCTACAGCAAATAAGTTGTCTCAGTAACTGACATGGGACTATTAGTTTGCTTTGTTTTATTTATATTGCATTCAGTCTCAGTGTATTTAACCAAAACTCACTGAATCACATTGCATCATAATTAAAGACCAAACCTTATCGCGTCGTGTTTTTCAGTGAACAGAATCTTTGGCAGTGAATCAACCACAGAGCAGAGATTCAAAACCTTACTGCACAAACTACTGACGCAGCATTTTCAGTTAAATGTCAACCCGCTGTATGTCAGTATTGTTGAGCTTTCTTTAATCTCAAATTGAAAAACGTATTTAAAAAAAAAAATGTGTATTTGAAACAGCTTTTTGTAAATATCACAACAGAATGAATCCAAGATATTTAATGTTTTGTCTCATAAACTTGAATTTAATAACAGTAACTGGGCATAAATATTAATGGGCGGACATTTAATGCCGGAATCAATAACTGCATTATGTGTTATAATTTGTGTTACATTTTCTGAGAAAAGGAACAACTATATGTTACTTAAAACTTAATTAATTAGATTTTTGAGTACAAAGTTTTCCTGCGATTGAAACCTGCGACACATAAACCAAAGTAATACATTTGTCCAAATAAAGTTACCAAAACCTCTGTTCTGTATTATGTTTGTTCATGATCTTGCTTTTTCTGAATTGTTGCTGTTGACTTTTCACATCAATATTATTAGATGAACTGAGTGTTTTTACCAGCAACGTTCATGCCAGGTCTTAAAAAGTCTAAAAAAAAGTCTATAATTTGAAAATCAAAATTTTAGGCCTAAAAAGTTTTAAAAACGCCCAGATTTTCATCCAAGGTCTTAAATTTAATTTTGTAAAGTCTTAATTTTTTCTACTTTTGATCATTCCTGAGAACCGTTGGCTGCATAAAGAAAGTTAAGAGTCGTAATCAGAGGTTGACACGATCTGTCTTCATGAAGTGTTAAGTTTGCTACTCATGATTAAACTACAAATCCCATGATAACTGCAGGTAAAAATGACTCAGTTTACTTCCATGTTTTTGACCTCTTTGCCGCTACAACCCCCCACATTACAGGCGGCTTATTTACCTGCTCAAAAACAGAAGTTCAGTCTTGTTCACTGCTTGTTGTTTAAACATGGGAAAGTGTGTTTTCAATGAGACTTGACTTGATATCAGTGATTTTTTTCACTCAGTTGAAAGCGGTTCACAGCAGTCAGATATGACYGTTTCATTCAAATAATTTAGTGTTCTTGTATTAAAATTAAATATTATTTAATAACTAAATTGATAGCAATAAAAGGTTTCTATGTTAAAATTTCTGGRACCATTTGAATGTTTCTGTTAATGYGTCGATTTGGTCTTAAAAGGTCTTTAAAAGGCCTTAAATTTAATTTACTGAAACCTGCATGAACCCTGTACCTGTACAGGCTTATCAGTTGTTGATGCTAAATTGTTGTTGAAACATCAGGTTTTAAATCCTGTTATTCCAGTTTGAATATTTACAATCAAACATCCCATGTTGAGCACTTTGTCCTGGTTTGTTGAAGAATGCAGTGATTTATCAGCACACTCTGCGTGCCCGGAGGCAGATAATGAGCTGAGAGCTGTGAAGCAGTTCCAGCTTCTTTGGGTTGACTAAACAACAACACAATGAAAGTTTTAGGATGATTTGTGACTCTAAATCTTCCCATCAGTGAAGCAGACACGAAAGGAGCTTTCAGATTGTGCACATTAACGTGTGACGATGGGCTCAGCTCATTTGATGGAGCAGAAAGTTTCGTTGCCATGCTTCATCTTTCGTCCCGTGGCTCTTCCTCCTCCTCCAGACCCTTTGCAGTCGGTGTTGCAGACTCTGGAGAGGCAGTACGAGGAGGAGAAGCGCTGTGCCCTTGAGCGCCAGAGGCTGATGTACGAGCAGGAGCTGCAGCAGCTCCGCCAGCGACTCGTCCCTGAGAAGCCCTCCCCGCTGCTGGACTCATCAGGCCTCCCCGTCGGCGCCTCTGCTGCAGTAACGTCACCCGGCTCTCACAAACGTGTGCGGCGCTGGAGTGAAGACAGGTGACTCAGCTTGTTCCATGTCGCTTAGACGAGTCCAAAGGAAATCTACCTGGACACACGTGGACAAATTGTGTGCTTGTGTTTGTTGGGGCAGAGAAGCCATGATGACCCGCAGTCTGCGGCGTTTAAGAGAGCAGATCGTTCGGGCCAAGTTGTTGGCCCAGGAGGCCAGCTTTATCGCTGAGGAGCTCAACAAGAGGACAGAGTACCTGGTCACTCTGCAGATCCCTGCAGCCAACCTGGATGCTAACAGGAAGGTAAGATTTGTGGAAGCTTCCCTTTTGTCCTCACAAGAGAGAAAATAATAAAACTGCTGTCCTGATGCATCTCAGTAATCCAGGTAAAAAATCAAAAAGAAAAAAATTGTGTAGGTCTTCTGGA